TGCTAATCTTATTGGTGGCCTCCCAGGGTCAATCGACTCCCTCCTCACCTACCTTTTGTCAGTAGAATCTTTGTGCCACAACCTTTTTCTCTGTACTGCGTTAGGAAGGTATATCCTAAACCTTCAGTAAGCCGCAGCCCAGCCTCTACATTTTTATTACTCATAGAGTAAGTGCAAAACTTGTAACAGGATGCACACTAACTCTCTGGTCTGGCTCATATGTGTAAGTTCAGAGCAGGAAAGACTTTTCTTCCTTGGCACCCTGTGCTAACCCCCAGTACAGAATTTATCTCACCTATTGCTATTGAACTTTATAATTACAGTATGCTTTTTATTGCGCTACATGCTAGGCAAGCACACTGCCACTGGCTGAGCTCTGTCCTTACTCCACTAAAGCGATTGAATTTTCCATTTTCTCAGTCAGACTGGAAGAGCTGAGAATAGGGGTCATCTTCTCTGAGAAGTGGTCACTAGTACAGCCCCAGGGGCTCTTGCAGTGCACGGTGTGAGTTATTGGATGGATGTGTGTGGTACTCGTGAATTGTTCATTCACTGAGGGAAGTAAACACAGAATATTCTAGAGATTCCAAAAATGCAAAAGTAAATCCCACCTGGAGAATTAGGTTGCATTGGAGAAATGGCATTTGAAGTGGATCAGGAAAGAACCTGTGGGATTTCAGTAGGTGGAGATGACAGGCGAGGAATTCTAGGCAGAAGAAATAGCTTAACTATAGGTAGGGGAGTGGGTATTGTTCAGGGCATGTTTGATGAAAAGTGTATGTGTCATATGTTATAGCTTAATATCTTGTCTGTATGTATACATGCATGCACATGCATGTGGAGGTGTTTGTGCATATGCATGTATATAGTTGTATATGGGCGTTATGAGTATGTAGGTCTAAGGGTATGCAGATGTGTGCTTATGTTTAGGTTTATGTATAAATGCCTAGGCTCATGTTGGTGTATGTTTGTTTGCTGGTGAATTCATGTAGGAGTGAGGGTATATGTTATACTGTGAGTACGCAGAGGAAGTGTGACAGCAGACAAGAGAGGGGGAAAGAGACAAGGAAAGCAGGAGGAGAAGGCAGCGTGGTTGGCTGGGCCTATTGGTCGAGGGGGGTTTGTGTAAAGGGGCTTGGTTCTACATGCAGCTTGAGAATTTGAGAATGAGCTCCATAATTCTGGCATTTTGTTGCTGGTGGTCTTTGTTTTTCATATAGGGTCTCATGTAGCTCAGGTTAGCCCCAATCTTGCTACGTAGCTGAGGATGACCTTGAACTTCTGAGTCCCCCACTTCTACTTCTCAAGTGCTGGGATTACAGGTGTGCCACCATGTTCAATTTTATGCGGTGCTGGACTTTGTGCATGCTAGGTAAGAACCCTACCAATTGAGCTAATCCCCAGCCCAATTTGATGTTCATATATGTGTTTTTATGGGATATCTGAAAGCCAGTTGTGAGGTTATTTTAATTGTGCCTTGTAAGCATTTCATAAATAGATAAATGGGCTCAAAAATTCATATCCCTTTGAAAAAAAGAGCCACACATATCTATTAACCTAAATTCTTCCAGCCTCTTGCAGCCTGTGAGCCATCCCTCTGAGCTTATCCAGACATGAAGAAGTAGGTAGTAACTTGAGACATGCAGTTTCTGGAGATGGAATTAGCTCTGCTCTGAAAACATATTGGCTGAACATTTGAGAGAGTAATCACTGCCATTCACAGGGCACTTTCTAGAAGCTGAAGGGCAGTTAGCTTCCTGAAAGCACTGTATTTAAATTATATTAATAAGAACAGATTTTAAAAAACCATTACAAAGTTAATTTTCTCTTTTTATATTTCTTTGAGCTAAATCACTTTTTTCTATCAGTGGTCAATTATTTTTCTTTGTCCTCAAAACTTCAGTATATTTGCTGAAAACACTCAAAAGGTCTATCATCAAAATTCAGGTTATTTTGAAAGCAAAAGTTTTTTTTTTTCACCTCCCACACAACCTATTTAGGTGAATGGAGGAATGCTTTTAAATACCAAAAAAAAAAAAAAAAAAAAAAATTCATGAGAGTTTTAAAAAATCTGCCCATAACTTTATCTTTTGTACAGGAAGTATTTAAATTAAAACTGTGCTAAGAATGGTATCTAATACTTTATAAATGCTCAGAGAATGCCAACTTTCACTTCTGTAAGAACTCAAGGGTTCTGATGAGATAGTTTGGTTGGTAAAATATGAGGACCTGGGTTCCATCCCCAGAATCCATGTAAAAAAAGCCGGGTATGGTGGCACATATTTATAATCCCAGTGCTGGGGAGACAGGAGGATCCCTGAGGTTCACTGGGCAGTCAGCCTAGCCTAATTAATGATTTCTAGGCTATCTTAAAAAACATGGTGGATGACTCCTGAGAAACAACACCCAAGATTGACTTCTGGACTCCATATCCATGTACATACATGGGCACCAACATAAACAGATATGCATGCACAGGACACACACATGCAACATGAGCTCAAGCAATGTCATCACTTTATTGCTCTGGTCTTTCTACTTCTTAAGTAGAAAGGGAGGGCGGCACAAAGTCTAAGGAATGACATCCTGGGCACATAGAAATGCTCAGAAATGATCTTGTTATGGTGGAGAGAGGTGCGAAGCTCTCGATTTCTAGGGAAAGCAAGGATGACTTTTCAAATAAGATGCCATCTGTGCTCTGTCTTAAATGCTAGCGATAGATTATAGCATCTGCCACATATCTTATGTGCCATGCTAGGTTTTATACTGTATGCACTATTAACATTTTTGGCTCATTCAGACCTCACCATAGTCCTCAAAGGGATCCCCTGTTGCTTTCCGCATTTTACAAATGAAGACAGTGAAGCTCAGAGAGGCTAAGTGACTCTCCCAAGGCTACTCAGCTCAAGGGTAAAGTCTGCAAAAACAGTTAGCTCTTATTGACCCCCAAAGCCTTTATCCTATCCACTGAACTACCCAGCCTCTCTTGAGATTGTGTTTGAGTTTTCAAGGTAAATGGGAAGGAATGGCATACCATGCAACTAAAGGAAAAGCTAGTAAGACAAGTATGTATGTATCTATATACGTGTGTATATGCATATGTGCGTATGCGTATGTGCAGACAGGTACCTGTGTGTGTATGTATCGGGGAGGGTACACATATATGTGCATGTGTGTAGTGGCCAGAGTTCAGGGCATAGGTATTGTTCCTCAAGATGCTGTCCACCAACTTGGGGGGGTGTTTTTTGAGACAAGGTCTCTCACTGGCCTAGTCCTCAACAATTTGGTTAGGCCAGTTGGCCTCCTGTCTCTGCCGTCCCAACACTGGGATTATATACACATACCACCATGCCCTGCTCTTTTACATGAGCCCCGAGGTTTGAACTCACGCCCTCATGCTTTCAGAACAAGCACTTTCATAGCAAGCTGGGTCATTTCCCCAGCTCCAATTTTTTAAAAAAATCTATTTGCATATTTGGTATTATTGTTTTGATTTTCCTCCCTCAGCTGACTGATAACTCAAAAAGGCAGGGGCCATTCTGTTTGATCCATCATTGCCCCCAAGCTGGTGCCGATACCTAGTAGGCATTCAATAAATCAATGTTGAATGAATGAAGCATTACACTGGTACCGCATTTTCCCCGGCTTGTGTAGCACGGGGATATGGGCATGTTTGCTTCACCAAATTACTCTGCTGACCTCTGTGTCTAAAAAAGGGATGGTATCACAGAAGCGAGACAATTTTGTAATTAGCCACATGGGATGTTTCTTTACAGCCAGCAAAATTTTTCCAGTGCAAATGATGAGGTAATCTCAGAGAGCAGAAATTCTTTTCTCTTTTCCACCTCCATCACCTTCTGGCACTTGGTGTGTCTGGATTCTCTTTAAGGGCCTGAGATTCATTTCTGGTGCCACTTAAGTTGCCAGAGGAGAGGCGAGCGGGTCACATCAACACAGACAAGCCTGCACTCGGCACTTAGCTTCTCAGACGAGGTGTTTTCCTTGAGGTTGGTGTTACAAATAAGTGCTGACCTGTGGTGTCAGGTAAATGCTCTGGAGGAGGAAGGAGAAATCACGACGCGGGGGCAGCTTTCTCCCAATGCGTATGTGAACAGTGCCAATAAACTGTCAAATAAAATTAAGGCTCAAAGCATACAGCCTTCAATTTGATTTCACTAAGATGCCGGCTGCTGCTCGGAGGGAATACAATCGATTCTATTTTGACAGGCCTTGATGCGTGCTAAGCAGTAACAGTCCCCAGTCTGTGAGGATTAATAAAAGTTCACCTTCATTTGCAACTTAAATGGAACTGTATCTGGGCTTGAAATGATGTTTCTAATTCCTTCACCAGCTCAGTCCCTCTAAGGTTGCCTGTACCCTCAGTCCTCCACCTCCTCTGCCTCTGTCCCTCTCTCTCTCCATCTTTTCCTCAGTGCAGTTTTCTTTCTCCTTTTCACATTTTCTCTCCTCTATAATGAAAATAAAAGCATGAGGTTCCTCTTATGTGCCAGGCACTTGTGTTTGCTTTGTACACAGTGCCTTTTTCAGTTCCCATGACATCACAGGAAGCAGGTAGAACTGTACCTTGTTACAGACAAGGAAGCAGGTTTCTGGTGAAGAAGAGCATGCACAATTAGGAATGAAGAGAGATGCAGATTCAAACCTCTGTGATTCTCATGATCCATGTCATTCCCATGGCATTCATGGTACTGAATGCTGGCAGAACATTAGAACTTCCTGGGGGAGCCCCAGAAGTGCCAGTATTTAACCATCACCCCCAGATATGATGTTTCACCTGCCTGTAGAGGGACCTGGGATGTGGCTTGATTTCAGGTTCTCCCTCACTTGTCTTAGCATATTAGTGATACATATATTGAGGTATGTGGCAGAAAAGCCCTTAAGGCTGCTAGGCCTCTTCTCTGTCTCTTGTGAGAAGGTCTTGCCCTACTGCCGTCAGTGGAGCAATAAAGCACAAGTGTGTCTTTGTGTTTGCGATGCAGGTGGGCAAGTGGGAGAACCAGACCCTGAGCCTGAGGCATGCTGTGTGGCCAAGGTACAAGTCTTTTTCTGACTGTGAGCCTGATGACAACCATCTGAGCATCGTCACCTTGGAGGAAGCCCCCTTTGTCATCGTGGAGGACATAGACCCACTGACGGAGACGTGTGTGAGGAACACTGTGCCCTGTCGGAAGTTTGTCAAAATCAAGTGAGTTCTGGAGCACTGTTGGCTAGATGTGGTCAATCCTTTTAAAAAGTTTGTGCAAAAGTATCTAAAATCCAGTCATTGTATCAAATATACTCTATTGCAATGGTCACATATCCAATAGATGAAGACTTAAATGCCTGGAGATTTGTCAAGTATGTATTTATTTCATTCCAACATCAATATGAGGTATGTGGTTTTGCCCATGGGAAATTGCTACTAACGGATTATGGGAAGATTAAGAAACTTGTTCAAGGCCAGGTAGATGGCTCAGTTGGTCAAGGGCTTGCCTTTCAAGCACAAGGACCTGATCTGGATCCCCAGAACCCGCAGAAAAAAAAAAAAGTCAGCTAGGCATGATGGTATACTGGGAAGGGAGAGAAAGGCGAGCCCCTAAGATTTACTGGAGAGCCTGTCTAATCCACTTCATGAGTTCCAAACCAGTGAGAGACCCTGTCTCAAAATAAGATGGACAGCATTTCTGAGGAAACATACCTGAGGCTGTCCTCTGGCTTCCACATGTACATGTGCATGTTTCTCTCTCTCTCTCTCTCTCTCTCTCTCTCTCTCTCTCTCTCTTTTCTCTCTGTCACACATACATACAAATAACAATATAAAAGAAAAAAAAAGCTATGCAGTGAGTGAATAGAAAAGCTGGAACTCACACAATAGTTCATCACCCGGAATCACTGCCCACTCACACCAGCCTTTCAGGCTTTCCTTCAGCAATCATCTCTACTGCTCTGGATTTTTCCCCTTAGTCTCCTCCTCCAGTACAGTCTTTTTCCTTCAGTATCTGTGTTTCTCAGATGCACACATTCCAAGTTTTTTAAAGCCTGTTTCTGGGGGAGGCACATGTGGCTTACTAATAATCTCTGTGCCCTCAGTGACAGGCATGGGATGCATTGCACCAATGTTTATTGAATGATTAGATGGTAAATGAATAGTTTTATTATCATGCTTCCATCCAAACTCTCACTGTAGTCATTACTACCTAAATGTAAGTCCCCGGATATTAGTGCTTTATATTAGAATATATATTGTTTTTTTTTAAAGAGAAAAAAAACACAGCTTTGCTACATATATTATAAAGGAACATTTTGGTTTGGAGAAAATTTTATCAGCAAAATCATTAAAGTTAGCCCGTTTAGAGCTGAAGTTCTGAATAGATCAGGAGAGAAATAAGTCTGTCCTTCTTAACAATGCCCTCCTTCCTGGGGTGACCCCCATGGTCCTCACTTCCTTCGATAAGCATTTCCCATAATCTCCTCACCCCTAGGAATGGGGCAGAGGTGAGCTCTGCCAAGAACCGATAGCCAGGCACCTCATGTTAGAAGCATTATGTTCTAAGTTTGCTGAATTCATTTGAAACTAAATTATATAGATGTCATTATAAATATAATTATAAAGTAAGCAATTAAATACGAAAATATGTATTTAGCAGTTTAGGTGTTAGGTATAGTACTGAGTATGAGTGAGACATCAGAAAACAGAGAAGACAAAAGATAAGGCTGTCCAGGTCACATGATAAAAACAGTTACTCTCGACTCCACTCATGAAGGAATGAGGCAGATCCATGCTGTGCTGAGCCTGTGAAGGGTAAGGGGAGTGACAGGAGAGCAAGGTGGGGTGTGCGAGGCTACTCCAGCTCACACAGGAAGGTGTAGGCAATGCATAAGAAGCCATGTGCAGAGCTGAAAGAACACGCCAGGTACAAAGGCCTTCAGGCAGAAAACAGCTTCAGCAAGTTTGGTAAACCAAGGAAAACCCAGTGAATGCTGGAGAGGGATGATCTGGAAGGAGTGTGGAGGGGAGCATGCAGGAAAGCTCTCTAAGGAGGCTCACACATGAGTGGGTGTTCCTTGAGCTGAAGTTGATCAGATGATGAAAGCACAGTCCGGCACAAAGCAAAGATCATAACTTCAGCAGGAGGCCTCTTTTACTAGCACAACACTGGGTATCAAGAGGCAATCGACCAGGCTTGTTGGGCTTCACAATAAACAAGAGCAGTTAAAGTCTAAAGTCAGTTTTGCTGGGGCTATAGCTCAGTTGGTAGACTGTTTGCCTAACATGCAAAAAGTCTTGCATTCATAGCTAGCAACACATACACGGGACACAACTGAAATCCCAAATCTCAGGAGATGGAAGCAGGGAAATCAAAAGTTCAAGGTCTTCCTTGCCTACATAGTGAATTTGGGGCCAGCCTGAGCTACCTGAGGCCCTCTCATCATATTGTATCCTATTGTCAGCAGCCTTGGAGCCAAACACTAGTAGATCACCAAGACCTGAGTCATATTACTGTGAAGAAACTCAAATCCAAACAAATCACTCTCTGTAAAATAATTGACTTTCCATTGATGACTAAACAACTTAATGCATTCAAGGTCATGTTTTTGGTTCCCGTGGGGAGGTGGTAACTTACTATTTTCCTTTTTTTCCATGTGGGAACCTATTGTGCCTGTGTGTCTAAGCAAAATTGAAGCGTTGGATTTAATGGAGATCAATAGAAAATTACTAGGATCCACTAATCCCAACATTAACCCAGATGAGATCAATTGCATTTCCTAAGCAGAAAGCATTACAGCAGTGTTACAAAAGGATTCCTGCTGGACGACGTGACTACATGTGTTTTCTTGGTAATTCTCTTGCAAGAAAAACCTTTTTCTTCCCACTTCTCATAACAGTGGGGTTTGAGGGCACTCACAAGTCCTCTGAAAATCTGAGATAGACTTTCCTTCTACTGTTAGTTGGGTGTTGAAGGCGTGAATGGAAAATTGGAAATATTATATGTCTTGATCTTGAGGAGAAAATGACCTTGACTGACAAATCATTAGAGTTAAGAGATGGAACTTATTTTTAAATGCTAATTCAAGAAATGCTTTAGATACTTTTTCATTTAACCTATCTTGGTTACTTTTCTTGATGCTGTGAGAAAAACTTCAGAGAAGGTCCTTTTTGGCTCTGGGTTTCAGAGGACTTTCAGTCTATCCTGGCAAGTGTGGTAGCTAATACTTATTGCCAACTTGGCAGGATCTAGAGTCACCTAGGAGACAAACGTCTGTGCATATCTGTGAAGGAGTTTCTAGAGTAGGCGAACTGAGATGAGAAGACCCACCTTCACTGTGGGTGGCACCATTCGCTGGGCTGAGGACATGGAGTAAACAAAAATGAGAAAGTGAGCTGAGCACCAGCGTTCATCGCTCTCTGCTTCCTGACTATGGATGCCGTGCCTGCCTCTCCATGATACTTCCAAACTATGAGCCAAAATAAATCCTTTCTTTTTTAATTTTTAAAATTTATTTTTCTTTTATGTGTATGTGTGTATTGCCTGCGTGTTGGTAAGTGCACCCATGTCATTCAATGCCTGTGGAGGACATAAGAGGCTGTTGAATACCCTGGAACTGGAGTTTCAGACAGTTGTTACCTGCCATGTGGGTGCTGGGATTTGAACCTGGGTCTTCTGCAAGAACAACTAGTGTTCTTAACTGCTGAGCCATTTCTCCAGCCCCCAAAATAAATCCTTTCTTACTTAAGTTGTTTTAAATCAGATATTTTATCACAACAACTAGAAAGATAACAGATACAGTGGGGAAGTGCGGTGGTGGGAGACTGTGGTGAATATCCTCACATCCCGGCAGACCAGAAAGCAGTGAACAGGAAGTGAGATGGGATTATAAGTCTCAAAGCACTCCTCCCAACAACCCATGTTTTCCATGAGAAAAGTTCCACAAACTTCCAAAACAGCACCCACCTGCTGGAAACCAAATGTTCAAGCACACAAGACTATGGGGGACACTTCACATCTAAACAGTGCACATTCCCAGGAACATACTGGGGATTTCAGTTCAGGAATGCACAAACTGATTCTAGGAAGGAGGATACTTGCATGAGTTCCCTGGTCCATAGGAGCCAGCTCAGGATCTGCACACAGATCTGATGTACATGGCTGCTGGCCACACTAGGGAACTGCAGTGCCATTAAACTGTGCATCTTTTTGGATCCCTTTACTGGTGTTTGTTTCTAAGAATCATCTCTGCTTTGAGTAATGGTAGACAGCTAAAAGAACATGGCTACCATTCCCCCTGGTTTTTCTCTGATTAAGCCATGCCCCCCTTCATACTCACAAGGAGTGGGAAAGGACCCAACACATGTTCCTAGTCACAAGTTGGTGTGTATTCACAGTCACCATGATAAAATGAATTAGTGCCATCGTATGTCTGTTTCATGTTATGTCCCCAGGGGTTAGTTGCCTATACCGAGGAGGCACACAGTAAGTGCCTCTGAGGAAAAAAGGCAGCATTGATCATCTGTAGCTAGATCCACCTCCTGACCAGGGATATAGGGGAATCAGTCACTCGTACACTGGCTGAGCCTTTTAGTGAATCCAGAGCATTCTGTGATCCTAAATCTCAAATCTGGGGCACTTGTAACTTCTATCAAACTGTCCCAGGAATCTTGACCAGGTGAAGGAGGAGGCTTTGATAGAAGAAGAAGAAGAAGAAAAAGAACACAATGAGGGATATGCAAATGAGCAGAGGTGGTAAGAGACATCAATGTGTGACTTATAGCTGCCAGGAGAAAGAAAAAAACAAGAACCTGATTGGGGTACAATTTTCAGAGCTGTATTTGTCAAAAGAAAATGGTATCTGGACCAGGGCCACTAACTGAGTACACTTTGAGCACATGTCTATTGTATTTCAGGTCTACCTTGACCCTTTGCTCTGGGTGATTGGTGGGGGAGAAGCAGGTACCTACTTCCTGTAACTTTACAACATTGACGCCACTAACCATTGTATGTAAATATATACAGATATGGCTTCCAAGATGAGGGCTAAGAGACTGAAGTTATCATTTTGCTTTTGGCCAAAGAAGCCAGATCATTAAGTAGAAGCAGGGACAGGATGGGGTGTAATGATGAAAACAATGGTTCAGGAGAGGCCACATGTGACCCTGGGATAAAGGAAATCATTGGATAAAGGGCATCAGCAACCCGGTTCCATCACCAAGGTTCTATCATCAGCACGCCCACATTCATGAATGACAATGTGGTAGACATCAGCAGTGCTTGGTGTGTATGCATTCAATTATATGTGTAGTATCTACTAACTAGATAATGTGGGGGAATAACCCAAAACCATGAGAAAAAGAAAATTCCCACCATTCAAGAATAACTACCTTTCATATTTCATTGTTTTTTAAGATGTACAAACATTTTCCCATTTTGATGTTGAATTTCCATAAGCATCATTTTGATGCTTAGTTAACAGTCCAGTGTGCAGATGTGTGAAGATGGAATATTCTAATAGAGCAGATATTTCCTGGCTGCAGGACTCATAGGCAGGACTGAGCTAAGAGGATTCACCAGGGGAAGCTGAAGTTGAGTGTGTTACCAAAAGCTCTTGGTTTTCCTATACAGGCTTTCTCTGTGTGACTTCCTACTTGGCTTGGACAGAACAGTGTTTCCTTTGGTTGTAAGGCATTTAGAATTCAAGTGAATGTCCTTAGAACCTGATCTGTTCAGGTGAATAAAGCCAGGTGGTTGTACAAAGTGGTTGAGCATAACCTTGGTAGCTTACAAAGTTACTTTTAAAAATATTTTATTTATGTTTTTATTTTACGTGTATGAGTATATTGCCTGCATATGTATAAGTGCACTGTGTCGTGCAATGCCCATGGCGGTCAGAAGAAGACATTGGATCCCCTAGAACTGGAGTTACAGACAGTTGTTAGCCATAATGTAGGTGCCAGGAATCAAAACCAGGTCCTCTGCAAGAGCAGTCAGTGCTCTTAACTGCTGAGTCATCTCTCCAGCCCCACAAAGTCACTTTTATGATGACAATGATGTCAGAATTTTTTCCTATGTATATATGTGCATTGTGTTTGTGTATGTTCACATGTATAGGGGCACACATAAGCAAGTGGGTGCAGGTGGATATGTGTGTGTGTGCATGCTTGTAGAGGCCTGAGGTTGATGCCAGGTATCTTTCTAAATTGCTTTCCATTTTATTTATTGAGGCAAGGCTTCTCACTGAACCCAGAGTTCACTGATCCTGGCTGGTCTAGGCAGCCAGCTTGCTTCAAGGGTTTCCTGTTTCTGCCTATCAAATGCTGGGTTTACAGGCAGCCACCATGCCTGCCCAGCTTTTATGTGGGTTATTGGGATCTGAATTTTGGTCCTCACACTTGTGCAGCAAATGCTTTATCTACTGAGCCATCTCTCCAGCCCTTGCTATAACTTCATAGGAATTTGAGGCCAGGCTGGCCTATATGAGACCCTGTCTCAATAAACAAAACAAAGCAAAACAAGGGGCTAGGGAAATGACGTGGTGGATAAGAATGCTTGTCATGACAGCTTGAAGATCTGAGTTCAAATGCTCAGCACCCATGCAAAATTCTGGGCATGGCTGCATATGCCCATAACCCTAGCATTGGGGCCAGGGGCAGTGGAGACAAGATCTGAGAGCATACTGGCCAGCCAGCCTAGTGAAGACAGCAAGCACTTAGGTTCAGTGAGAGACTCACCCTCAGTAAAGTGGAGAGTGATCGAAGACACCCAGTTTCTCTGCCCTCTGCATGGGTACACATAGACACAGGTACCCGAATACTCACATACATGTAACACACACAATGAAAGAAAAAACCAAAGCAAGAGAACACTTTCAGCTTTCGCTGTCATGAACTTACTTCCCATTCATGAGCGTCAATGTCCCATTCAAAAACAGAAGAATGTGTCTAACTACAGGAACACGAGCCTTCTGGGACTGACTTTCTGTGATCCTGGAATTCTTTTTGTAGCAACTCGACCAATGAAGGGATGAATGTGAAAAAGTGCTGCAAGGGCTTCTGCATCGATATCCTGAAGAAGTTGTCCAGGACCGTGAAGTTCACCTACGACCTCTACCTGGTGACCAATGGGAAGCATGGCAAAAAGGTTAACAATGTGTGGAATGGAATGATTGGTGAAGTAAGTTTCTTCTTCTTCCAGGTTCTCACACCAACCGAGGGCCCCAGGGTCTCAGGGCTGTCGGGAAGGGAGGGTGAAGGCACTGTTCTTTCTCGTATCCAGGTTGTCTATCAGCGAGCCGTCATGGCTGTGGGCTCACTCACCATCAATGAGGAACGCTCTGAAGTGGTGGACTTCTCAGTGCCCTTCGTGGAGACAGGAATCAGTGTCATGGTTTCCAGGAGCAATGGCACTGTCTCACCTTCAGCTTTCCTAGGTAGGTGAGCTTCTTGGTAATAGTTGCTTTCCTGCAAGAAATTACAGGTATTCTGGACTAGGGAAATACCTCAGTTGGTAAAGTGCTGTGCGAGCATGAGGACCTGAGTTTGATCCCCAGGACCCACATGAAATAGCTGGATGTGGTAGCATATGGGTGGTCCATAATGCCAGCTCTGGGGAGGTGAAAATAAGCAGATCCCTGAGGCTTGCTGGCCAGCCACATAGCATACTTGTTCAATTCTAGGCCAGCTAAAGACCCTATTGAAAACACTAAAAGCAAGAGGATAATACAAGTGGAACAACATCTGAGGTTGTCCTCTGGCCTATACACGCACGCGTACGCACGTGCACACACACACACACACACACACACACACACACACACATGCACACACAGAGAGACGTTATAGATATTCTGTTCAAATAATAAGACCAGACTGGACATTGTTCAGTTCTCTCCATCTACAAGTGCAGATTCTAAAGCATGTTGCACTTGAACTGTTCCAGTTAACACCCACTCCCATTCCCCCTCCCCCATCTTCCATTTATCTTTAACTTGGAAAACTGTTGATAAATTCCATCACATACTGGTCTTGACTCTGTTGAATGAATATTGATAGATATATTGCTCAGAGCCCTGAAAACATTTTTAAAAAATAAATCTGTCTTTCCACAGTTAATTGAAATCAGCCCATAAACCTTTATTCAGTGTCCACATACCTACATTCCCCTCCACACCAGAACCACAGTCATTTATTTACTAGTCGTAATGGTGACTGCCCAGTGATTTATGCTGGTATGCTAATAAACAAAATAGAAGTGGTCTGAAGAGTATACACTGATGTAAAATTAATGAACTCATATTTTAAATGGTGGCTATCCTTTACACCATTTGTAAAACAGGAAACCCTCTCAATTTCCCTTTAACTGTTCATAAATTTCTGTGCTTATGTAAAAGGTAATTGGGGCTAAGCTATGTTTTCTATCGTCTGGTTTCTGCAAGCACTGTAACTGTCTATGTAGTCAGTATCCAGGCCTCAGGAGAAGCTTCATGGAACACAGCCAAGCATAATTAATTTCTTCTTTAAAATGGTTTGTTGGCTATGAGGTTATTATACATTATTTTCTAGTGGTTATCTTATTGAATGTCAAAAAATTCAGAGTATTAACTTTTTCCTTGACATTCCAACATAAATGAGTTTGTTCCAAATTTGGAGAGGCAAAAAAAAAAAATCTTTATCACTAATGCAAAACTGTATGAGAGAGGCAACGCGATTTCATTAAATTCAGCTAAATTTCTTATACTTTTCCAAAGACAGGAAAACATTATCAAAGAAAATAGCAAACTAGAAGCAACCTAACCTCCAGCTTCAGCCTCCGCCATCCTCTCCCCACCTTCATTGAGCCATCATGTCAGCCGCAATGACATCTGCATGTCAGCTGCCTCCCAGGGCAGTGTTGACTAGCAGGGTGTTTGGAGACTCCATACTCACAGAGGCATGCGGAATTACTATTTTCATTTCTGATAATCCAGTTAAGTTGCTGAAATCCTTGCCAGTCACTGGATTTGATTTTCGTACCAGTTGCTTCAGTTCTTCGAACCTTTGTTACAAGTCACATAGAGCTTGACAAAGACACACATTATTATGTTTCCTTTGTCCCTTTGTGACATGGATTTAGATACCCACATCTTAAGGGAGCCTTGTTACACCAGGGAAAATGCAACCAGCTCAAACTGACAATATGTGCAGAGTCTTGGTAATTATTAGGTGGACATTCGGTCTTTATTCTTCCCTACTTATTTTTACCCCTTGTCTACCAGACTGTTTGTCACAAAGCAATTGCCCTGAAGGTTAAGAAAGGAGGAGAAAAGAACTGAATTCATGTAACAAAGTAGAAAGGAATTTGTTTCTTTTCACACATGCCCCACATCTCCTGAACTGAAGAGAACTTTTTTCCAGTTCAATCACAGACAAATAATATCAATTTAAAAAATGGGCTGCTGATATTGAATCCGGCCTCAACCCAGTTTCTCTAGGCTTTTTTTTTTTTTAAATATTACCTGCATCTGTAGAATGTTTTCATTAAAAGTCAAGTGTTTTTGCCAAATTTAGCACCCCTTCTTCCTACTGTTTCTTTAAAAATAAAATAAATTGTAGCTGGAGCAAACTATTTTCAAAGCTGTTTTTATGCAGTAAGCTTAATATCTTTCCTAGTCAGCAAATTATATCCCTATTCGATTGACTGTGCACCCCCTTATTTACAGACATTATTTTCAGGTTTTGAAAGTAATAATGAACCGTGCTAAGCAACATTTTTCCATTCACTGGCTCAGTCATCTGGAAGAGCCCAAACGTTCACAATCTGATTGCATTGTTCTTCATTATTTCCTATTTGCTCTCCTCCGCAAACTCTATTAACTTACATCAGAAACTTGCAGGTGATGCTGCTGAGCTTCTGTGTAAAAACCTAACCAGCAGCTCTTCAAGGACAGCGATGACGTCTCTTGTAATATTTCCATGTACTTAATTCTAAAAGCTTGCCAAGCAGGTTATATTCTTTGAACCATAGACATGTTAACCTGGAGTCTCCTACATTGACGTTCCTTTGTGGATAAATGTTGAATCTCTTTTAAGCCATTGGAGGATGTAACTCAAACCTATTTAGGATATTTCTTGGTCACTATCTCTGACACTATAGACTGATTCTTCTTCGTTGTGGTGTGTGTGTGTGTGTGTGTGTGTGTGTGTGTGTGTGTGTTGTCGTCAAGTAATAATTCTCTGGGACATTTCTAAGTACTTAATACAGCAAAACCAGAATCCTGGGTTGGTGAGATTGCTAGGTGGGCAAAGATGCTTACCACCAAGCCTAATAACCTGAGTTCAACTCTGGGGAGCCAAATGGTAGAAGGAGAGGACTGATCCCTGCAAGTTGTCCTCTAACCTCCGTACACAAGCTGTGGCATTCACAACTATACACATACACAAAATAAATAAATAAATAAATAAATAAATAAATAAATAAATAAATAAATAAATAAAAACGGATTCCTGCAGCAGGAGCCTTTGGTCTCTGAGGCACGGTCACTAGCCAAGAGATAAATATAACTTCCAAGTGAGAAAACATCAGGGATCATTTTCTGGGATCAGTTTTCTGACTAGTGTGTTAGTGACTAGCACACATTCTGCCAAATGAAACTTGCTATGGGTTTAAAAATTCTGACATGCGAACAGAATTCAGCAATTGTTTCCTCTGATTTTTATGATGTTTTCATATCCTACTGAGAAATGAGAGTTAGTAGTTTAGTAAGTATGTTTTTATTAACCGAGGGTGACTTTTTCAGAATTATGGACAGGATATTACCCTTATCACTTCTGGATATAATTATGGAATCCATCGGTTATTTTATTCACTACACTGTGTACACATAATGTTCAAGGCTCAGCACTGAAGGCTTTACATGTGCACGCTCACCCACTCAGCACGTGGTTCTCTGGCCAGATTCCCCATGCCATTAATACCTGATTTGCAGAATTGCTTTAATGTCTCTATTCTTTGCAATTAAATACTTTTTCAATTTCCTAATTATCCTTCTACTTAGCCTCCTTTTTGGATACACCTCATTACCAAGTTGCAATGATTTAAAGAACATAGTATTATTTATTACCCAAGCTAAAATTAGCTAAGATAAATTTTAGTTGCAGTCTCATTGATTTCTTGGAACTCATTTTGTGTTAAACCAAGGAAGTTGTGCTGTTACCTGTTGCCTTTTAACATATTTACATGATCAAAATTTCATCACAAAATATTTGCTCCAATTTAAAAATTATCCAGCATCACTAAGCTTCAGACATATTAATTCCCTGTTATACATTAAGATTGTTCCATTGGAGTCTACCAGTGTCAGGGGGCACAGACTCAATTCCTGATTAATATTACTAGCTTCATAAAAATTTAAAAAAAAATAAAGTACTTACTATTTAAGAAGTGTTATCATGCTATTATGCTTTGTCCTAAAAAATGTTTTCTTATGAAGGAAAAGACTTTTCAGTTCATGTGTGTCCGTGGATAATTGCTTTCCAATGGTGCAATCAGTTGGAGGTGTGTTCATTTTAGTTTTGTTGATTTGCTAGCCAATCTATGCCATATATGGATAAAACAGCTCCAGTTGGCTATTTTTCATATCTTCAGTCAGGCTAAGTGAAAATGTCCATTTATTTTGCAGGATTTCTGACCTTTCTAGAGTATTGTAAGACTTAGAACCTTGCTACTCCAGCCCCCTCACACTTCTGAGACACCTACCTACTGCCTAAGTTATGTAGAAATGAACTGTAAAAGATGATTTGTAGGCTGGGCGTGGTGGCCCACGCCTTTCATCCCAGCACTCGGGAGGCAGAGACAGCCAGATCCTCTGTGAGTTGGAGGCCAGCCTGGTCTACATAGTGAGTTCCAGGCAGCTGGAGCTACAGGGAGACCTTGTCTCAAAAAGGCCAAAAAAAAAAAAATGATTTGTAGGAGAAATAATCATCTATCCAGCTAAGACTTCATTACCTCTTTTCTTTAATGATGACTTTTCCTTGAATTTAACTCATGAACATAATTTCCCCAAATGAGTTTCAGTTGTGTCTAAGCCTGTTACGCTCATCAGTAAGATCTCATCATCTGCACAGAGGGTGGCAAATTGTGACCTTCCAATATTCTTGTCAATTCCTTGGTTTTATAATTCTATATAACAAGTTATATTTTTTCCTCTACTTCTGAAAATTTTCAAACATCGTCTTCACCAGTATATAAACATACAAATGAGAGTAAAATTCAAAATCACACCAGTTTTCAGAGTCCCATGGCTGACCATGTGGGTCTAGCTTGTTCCCTCCAGCGTTGGTTCTCTCGGTGTTTCTGTGGTTATGTAGGACTCCTGTTTCTCGGCATTCTAACATCTCCTCCCTCATCTTGCCATTCTTCTGCTTCTGTTAACCTTGACCTGATTTGTGTGTCATACGCTTGTCTCTATTTTTATCATTTTGTGTGAAGTCTTATAAATTACCTCAAATGTTTTAGAAAGAATGGTTTCACACATGAATAAAAATGACTAGTTTCTTTTGAATGATCAGATTTGAATGACAGCAAGTTTCTCCATCGGTCTATAGACAGATGGGTGGGTTTCCTGCCGGAAGGTAGAAACAGCTGACTGACTCTGTGCCCCCGCCCCCCCGCAGAGCCCTTCAGCGCTTCCGTCTGGGTGATGATGTTCGTGATGCTGCTCATCGTTTCTGCCATCGCTGTCTTTGTCTTTGAGTACTTCAGTCCTGTGGGATACAACAGAAACTTAGCCAAAGGGAAAGGTAAGGGAACTTGCATGAGTCTGCTACAAAACGGATGCTATTTCAGAGCTGGAGAGGTGGTTCCATGGGTAAAGCTGTATAAGCCTGAGGACCCATCTCAGATAGCCAGCCCAGGAGGGCCTGAGTTTCCATCCACAGTACCTAGGTAAAAGCTGAGCACCCCAGCACTGGGGGTGGGGGAGCAGAGACGGGCCGGTCCCAGGGGGTTTGTTGATTCACCAGTCTTCCAATTGAGAGACTCTGTCTCAAAAAATATGGTAGAGAGTGATAGAGGAAAGGCACCTGGCATTGACCTCTGGCCTTCACATGTGCATGCACATGAACACTCATGGGTGAGAGCACACACATACACACACACACACACACACACACACACACACACACCCCTCTCAAAATGAAAAATGATTTTACTTTTAGAACACTTTATCCTAGTTTGCTGTGACAAACCCTCATAAGAATGGTGTTGGCCCATTGACATGACTTATAATGAAAAACCAGAATGGATTATTTACTTGAACTGAAAACAGGCTTAAAGTATGAAGTATTTTAATCTTTTTTTAATATGAAGTCAATGGTCGTTAGGTGAAATCATTGATATTCAGTTTGTTGAGAAAACGTAGCTGATGGGTTTTTTTTTTCAATTTTTTTAAATGCACATCAGAAGAAATAGTAAAATCACAGTGAGTCTCAGTTTCATTTTATGCAAAAAAGTGACCCAATAGATTATACTTTAGGAACATTCTTCAGACTAGAGAATCATATTTGCATTCATTTGTCAATAAATGAAACTATAAGACAGTATTTTTCCCAAGAGTTAAATTTTCCTCTTGATGGTGTCTGATCATAGTGTATCGTTAGTGATAAAAGAGGAATTGGTAAATAGCTGAATTTAAAGGTATTAATTGGCTACAACTCATTAAGAGGCTTGCTAAGGCATCAGTGCATTCTGAATGTATTTTTCTCAATGCATGGAACTTTCATGAGTGAATTTTAACAGAAAGATGCTGGCACCAAATCTCTTTCCCCAAAGTGACTTGATATAGTGGAGAGAAGAAGACCTGGAGGCCAAGGATGGAGTTCAGTGGTACAGCAAGGCCCTGAGCTCAATCCACACCACCACAATTAATGGAGACCTTGACATCTCAAATGCTCCCCAGAACAGGACATCCTTTAATCCAACATGTATTCTTTCAACTTGGAAGATTCAATACTGGAAACAATCAAGAATCTATTAGAGACTTCATTTTATTAAAATTCTCCCACTTCTTAGTTACTGGAAAGTGGTGATTACTACATAAACCATCTCCCAAACAGTAAAACCATCTCCCATAATAATCATACTGTGTTTAAGTAAGAGATAACTCAGTAAAGAGATTTCCTACACATAGAAGCTGAGGTGACTTTCTGTGGTGAGCACACTGGGGTAAGGCAGGACTTTAAACGCACACCTTGAAGTTTATGGTTGTGCCTTCACACATTTCTTTCACATATGATTAGAGTGTGTACTATGTGCCAAGCCCTCTGCTGGGCAGGAGACAAGGTGGATCAGATGGAAGCTTTCTGACCCTCAGGAACCTTAGGACATAGCTAAAGAGACAACATCTGAGCACTGTGATTAGTCATCACAAATGGTAATACCTTGTAAGAAAGGCATAAATCAGACTGATGTGGTGATGGATGGGTGGGCTGCTTTAGATAGAGTGCTAAGACAAGGAAGGGCATTCAGAAGCAGTGAGGTTCATCTGAGACCTAGAGGCAGAGTTTAGTCATGTGAAAAACAGAACATTCAACTAGCAGCAACAGCCAACAGAAAGACTTAGAGTTAGAACCCATCCTGGCATGTCTAAGAAACAGGAAATGGAGCTGAGCCTGGCACACATAGGCCTGTATTCTCAGCTACTCTAGAGGCTGAAAACAGCCAACGTTCCAGAGAAAGTTCTGGGCTAGTCTGGAAAACTTAAGACCTTTCAACAGGTCTTAGAATGCAGCAGTATGTTACAGTGCTTGTCTAACATGCATAAGACCCTGAGTTCCACCCCCAACACTGGACAACAAGAAAGAAGAAAGGGTAAGTATATCGAAGAAACAAAAGAGACAGAAAAGATATGAGCAAGTGAGGTGGGGAGTAAGATAAGATACGACCAGAAGGACAAGCATTTGACAGCGCTAGCATGCGTTTCAGATTTTCTTCAAAATGCCAAAAGAGGGAAAACAGGCAGCAGACACAGGTGATATGAAGAGGCCAAGGTCTCCTCTACCAAGATAATGAAGAGCACAGCAACAGTGAGACAGGGAGTCCCACAGAGAAGATGAAACTGTTTTCCAAGAAAAAGGATTCCAGTTAAAAATTCCACTGTGGCTCACTGGAAAGATGGCTCAGTGGTTAAGAGCTCTGACTGCTCTTTCAGAGGATCTGGGTTCAAATCACAGCACCCACATGGCAGCTAACAACTGTCCATAAATCCAGTTCCAGGGGATCTGGTGCCCTCTTCCGGCCTCTGTGGGCATTGCATGACATGGTGCACTTACATACATGTAGGCAATACACCCATATATGTAAAATAAAAATAAATTTTATTAGTTTAAGAATAAGAGGGGGCTTGAAAGATGGCTCAGTGGTTAAGAACACTGGCTGCTCTTGCAGAGGATTAGGGTTTGATTTCCAACACTCACATGGTGGTTAGCAGCCGTTTATAACTCCAGTTCCAGGGTAATACAACACCTTCTTCTGACCTCCTTGGGCACTGCAAGACACAGGTGCACTTATATACATGCAGGCAATACACTCGTACACTAAAACAAAAACAATTTTTAAAAATTTCAGCATGGCTGGGTCTGTTGATGTATGCTTTTAATCTCAGCACTGAGGAGGCTGTGAGTTCCAAGGCAGCCAGGGTTTACATACTGAGACCTTTTCTAAAACACAAAAAAGAAGATGAAAAATTCCAGCATAGAAGGGGAGGGGCATCCAATGCCTCATCCCTAGCAGAGAGCTAATGGCAGTCGATGACTGCTGGAGGAGGGAGGGTCACTTTTTCTTAGAAGTATGGCCACTGGTATCATCCACTGGTTCCCCATATCTCACTGGATAACCCCACACCCATGGCCATATAGGCAGCTCTAATTGAACTCCAGGTTAAAAAAAAATTTTAATTAAAAAAATTAAAAATAATCAGGATCCCATACCTAAGAGCATTTGGCAAAAAAAAATGGACTTTATAGGCCTTAAAAATAATAATAGAGGACAAGAAGTCCAGGGGAAGGTACCAAGGCTGAGGCAGAGATGGAAGACAGGTGTGAACATGATTAAAATGTATTGTATGACGTTCTCAAAAATCAAAAAAATATATATTTTTTGGTCTTCTTGAGACAGGGTCTCCCTGTAGTCCCAGCTGGCCTGGAACTTGCTATGTAGACCAGGCTGGCCTTGAACTCACAGAGAACCACCTGTCTCTGCCCCCAAGTGCTGGAATTAAAGGCATGTGCCACCATGTCTTGCTAAGTATCAAAAATATTTTTAAAAAATATTCATCTACAGATATTGAAACACAAATGAAATATGATAATCTCTAGGGATCATGACATCTCTTTTAAAGTTTTAATTTTTTAATTAAATTTAAATTTTAATTAAGTTTTAATTTTTATGGATCTTATATAATACATTTTGATCACATTTAGATCCCTTCCCTCATGACTCATTTAATAAACATTACTAGTTAAATAAAAATAAATAAAATTGAGGCTGGAGAAGTGGCTTAGCGGTTAAGAGCACTGGCCAATCTTGTAGAGGACCTGGGTTTAATTCCTAGCCCCAACATGGCCATCTCTAACTCCAGTTCCAGGGGATCTGACGCCCTCTTCTGATCTCCACCAGCATTGTATGACACAGGTGTACTTATATACACGCTCATACACACAAAATAAAAATAAGAACTAAAATATTTTTTATAAATAAAAATGTAAAATTCGGGGGCACCTTAATTGGGGAAACCATGATGGAGGGGAGAGACAATGCAAGAGATAAATAATGCCTAGCTAGTTTTAAAAACCAGAGGGAACCATATTAGTCCAAAACCCTACAGACAAATTATACATACCAGATCAAGAAATACATGTCTAGGCAAGGTTTATTTGAGGACAATTAGTCTTTGCCCAAGATTTATCTACATGGCACACAGTAATTAAAAGTATCAGATTGGTGGAACTAACCTTCTTGGATGTTTAACAGACATACTTTGAGCCCTATACTAATTTGGTCAGAGGGACATAAAGGACACTTTTTGCTCCTTGCCCTCCTAGGTCGACTAGTTCCTGGGGACTATGAGCATCTCTCAAAATGTCCTGTAATTGTAGTGGATCACCTGTCCTCTTGATCAAGGAGGCCAAGGAGACCCCACGAGATGGACTTGAACCAGTGTCCAGTCTACAAAGAGGAGGGTCAACACAGAGGAATCATTTTCTATGCTTCCAAGCGAAGCCAGCCATGGTCGAGTAGAGCCTTTGACTTATCTTCACATAGGCGGAACTGGTAAAAGAAAGGAGCCGGGCTCCTCCCAAGCCCATGCGACCCCTGAGGAACAGATCCTCAAATGACCTTAAGAGTGAAAATAAATTGGTTTATCTGGGCCAACTGTATGGCCTTAAACACCCAAAAGGAAAGTATAAACAAAGATTAAAGGGGCCAATATAATTAAGAGTCCATGTGTATAGCTAATAGCTAAAGGCTACATAACAAGAAAGAATGCCACACAGGAGATACCTTCCTTTGAGTTATTGGCCAGGGTAGCCCAAAAGACTCCCAGACAGTAACCAAGCATAGAACTGGGAAAAGGAACAGCAGACCCCAATCTTATCTAAAGGAGTACTGGCAACAGGTTGCTGCTATGTGAGGAAGAGCTGATCTTCCTAAAACAAGGATCTCTAGATAGGCTGATTAGATTCAGCAAATGGACAAGCACTGCAGAATGGCTGAGGGCGCCGCTGACAACACAGTGGGCAGTAACAGGGATGACAGAGTATATGGGCTCCAGTGGTGGTGGGGAGGAGGCTATGGGAGGGTGCCATTTGGGAAGTGGGCATATAGATGAATAAGATTGTTTGGGATTTCTATATGATACCAACAAATCATATAGAACAAAAAATCAGCAAATGAAAAAATGAGTTATATTTGAGGAGGAAGCATAAAAATTTATTTCATGTTAATTAGTAGAGGTGATAAACATTACCACTGAAATCTGCCTGATGACTTTATAGACATACACAGGTGCCAAGGATCCACGTGCAACTGATTCTGACTAATAATAATCAGATACATACAGATTAGAGATGCATGCACCAACATCTCAGTGTTACGAGCACAAACAATGAGGCTTCCTGTAAGAAATCGTGTATTTTAAAATGAGATGGAGATCTTTTTTAAAGGTTAAAAACTCATTCAATTTTATGTCTTATAGGGTTTATACTGAGTTCAATATTGTATAACTG